CTATATGCATCCGAAGAAGTGGGCTGTAGTCCACGAAAGCTTATGCTCTAATAAATTTGTTAGTCTCTAAGGTGCCACAAGTCCTCCTGTTCTTTTTTTTACTTGGGGTATCCTTTTAGTTTGAGCCTCTGTTGTTGTGTTTTTAAATAGTTTCCATGCAGCTTGCAGGCATTTCACTCTTGTGACTGTTCCTTTTAATTTGCGTTTAGCTAATGTCCTGGCTTTTGTGTAGTTCCCCTTGTTGAAGTTAAATGCTGCTGTGGTGGGTTTCTTTGGTATTTCTCCCCTACAGAGAAGTTAAATTTAACATTATGGTCACTATTCCCGAGCGATTTGCCTATGTTCGTCTCTTGGACCAGACCCTGTGAGCCACTTAGCTCTGAATCAAGACTTGCCTCTCCCCTTGCGGGTTCCAGGACCACCTGCCCCGAGAAGCCGTCATTAACGGTGTCTAGAAATGGTCTCTCTGCATCCTGTCCTGAGGCGACGTGTGCCCAGTCAGTATGGGGATGATTGAAATCCCCCATTATTACTGGGTTTTCTGTTTTTGTAGCCTCACTAATCACCCTGAGCATTTCACTGTCACTGTCCTGCTCGGGCGGGCAGGCAGTAGTAGGGAGAACGGGGCGTGTTTCTTCTCCCAGCTCATAACGTGAGACCAAGGAGAGTTCAAAGATGCTAAAAGGGGGGCAGTTGAAAGCTGATAAAAGGAAACACTCTTTAGCCCAACGATTAATTAGCCTGTGGAACTCACTGCCGCAGGACGCCAGTGGGGCCCCGAGCTTAGCAAGATTCACACAGGATTGGCTGTTTTTCTGTGGTTCACAAGTCTGCCGGGTGTGGTTATAACTAACTCTGCTGCTTCAGGGCTACCAGGGCGGGCGCCTCCCTCTCTGCAACACCTGGCCCTAGGCGGCCGGGTCCAGTCTGGCAATCCCAGGTCCTCGGGCTAAACCAGCCCGGCAGGCTGCGCCCGCCCTGGCCATAGCAGTGTTAGTGGCAGCCAGGCTGACGTGTGGGGAGGAGCTGGGAGACTGGGGGCATAGGGAGAGTTGTGGGGAGGGGAGGGTGTTGGGCTCGGCCTGGCGGCTGAGCCCGGCTCTCTCTCAGTTCCCCAGGTGGGGGGGTCACTGGGGGGTCGCTGAGCCCGGCTCTCTCACAGTTCCCCAGGCGGAGGGGTGCTGGGGGGGCGCTGAGCCCGGCTCTCTCTCAGTTCCCCAGGTGGGGGGGTCGCTGAGCCCGGCTCTCTCTCAGTTCCCCAGGCGGGGGGGCGCTGGGGGGTCGCTGAGCCCGGCTCTCTCTCAGTTCCCCAGCATGAAGAAGGTGCGGGAGTTCAAAGCCCATGACGGGGAGATTGAGGACATTGCGCTGGGTCCCGAGAACAAGGTGAGCAGCTGACCCCGGAGCCCAGGGTGAGTCCCCCCCCCAGGGCGCTCGCTGCCTGCCCCCCACATGTCAGGGGGGTTGTGTGGGGCGGGGGCCGGCGTCCCTGAGTGAAGGCTCCTGTGGGTGGGGGAGGGGGGCTCAGGATGCCGGTGCTGGCCCGGGGACGTGGCACACGGTGGGGAGCGGCCGCGGTGCCTTAGACAGGAGAGGGGGAGTCGCAGCCTGGTGCAGGCCAGACGGACTGGGGAAACTGAGGCTGGGTCTCCATCGCTCCTGAGTCTGGCTGGGGGCCCCCCCGCCCGGCTTTCACGGCTGCGTCCCGGCAGGTGGTGACGGCGGGCCGGGATTTCCATTGCTGCGTGTGGCAGAGGGACCAGCTGGTGCTGCGGCTGTGCTGGGACGAGAATATGCCGGGCATCCCTGACAAGACCTACCGCTACCAGGCTTGCAGGTAGGGCCCTGGCATGGAGCGATGCCTGGCCAGGTCGACTTATCCCTGGGGACAGGGGCCCGGCTGTTCGGGTGGGTCAAGGGTGGGGCTCGGGGGCTGGGCTCAGGGGGGCTGGCGGGGGCTGGGCTGGGGTGACGGGCTCCTGGCGTGGGTGGGGGCTGGTCTCAGTGGTGCTGGCGGGGGCTGGGCTGACGGGCTCCCGGCGTGGGTTGGGGCTGGTCTCGGTGGTGCTGGCGGG